AGCAGCAGTAGATTGAAATGAGGTATAGCTGATTTAATAAACCCCAATCAGTAATTTACAGTTTTCTAAAGAAGCTGCATAGTTCAGCAAAAATACATCATAAAAGGAGGGGTAAAGAAAAAAATTCTTGTCATGAAGCTTTAAAATGTATGACAATTAGCATTTAAAACGACCAACACCAGAAAACTTCAGTTTGAAAAGGAGTCGTCTTCCCTCACTCTAAGCACATACAGAAACTGAAAGTGGAAGGGGAAAGTCCACAGGAGAAAAGGACATATGTTAATTGGCTCAGGTTTTCAACTTCATACACAGCTTTTTAAAAGATGTTAATATGCAGACAAATATTAAACTACAGTTAATGCCACCTATGCTAAAGTGTTTAAGGGAAATGTCTGAAATTTACATTAAAATGTGTATTTTTTAAAACTCCATTGTTTGATGGATAAATAGAGGGATAGACAGATATGCAGTAATACAAGTACTGGAAAATGTTGATGGTAGAATCTAGTGGTAGTGTATTGTAAAATTCTTCAACTTTACGTTTAAAATTTTTCATAATAAAATGTCAAGAAAAATGTCAATATTTCTACAATAAAATTAATTTAGTAGTGTGTTTTAAAGACTCAAAGTACTCAGGCAACTTAAAATTTTAAATTAATTGAAGTAAGGAAAATTTTGCTTTAAAACACCTTGAACCTGATTTGTGAAGATGCCTGTTTTTATTGTAGAGATGAACTAGCACAATTAATAAGTATTGTGAAGACAGTCTCTTCACACACTTCATTTGCAAATACATAATTCTATCCTCTCTACAGTATTAGATAAGTTTGAAAAAGACACTGGAATAAAGTTTTTCCAGACTTCAATATCAAGCTCTCCCAATCCACCACACTACTATTCACTAAATATAAATGTAACACAGATCAAGGCGGAAAAACAAGAATCAATGACTGTTGCCAGCCTGGGACAACTGGATTCATTTTCAGGATGTATGGTTCCTGACCAATAATGATACAGTCTTACTCAATATCAAATTGAGATTGCATAAAGAAAAAAAAAAGATGTACAACACAGAATGCGCATAAAGATTTGTTATTCCAAGCTCCTGTTTTATGAATCGTGATTAATGGCAATAATTCTATCATCTCTTCTCTCTGTGAAATGCTAAAACTTGCTAAAGGCACTCATATTCTGGGCTTATCAAAGACAGGGTCACATGGTACCATAAGCCAGTTTTTTTTTTGGTAGCTACCCAGAAAGGGAGTTGATAAATGATCCTCCCATTCATAAGAAGAAGGCAAAGTCAAACAGCTATCAGTAGAAATATCATATGAGAAGCTATTTACACAGCTATTTGTCCATTCAGTTAGATTGACAGTAATAGCTCACAATGGCAGGGGTCCACCACCAAAAAACTAAAGCAACAACAAAACATTCTTTATTATGCCTGAACTCCTGAAGGGTGATTTTGCTGGTTAAAAAAAAAAAAAGTTGGTAAGGTGGAGTATTTTTTAAATATCTGTTCAAAAGCCTGCATTAAATGACAAAACATTCCTCTATCTCTAAAGCAGCTCTGTTGTCTTTAGTACATGTCCCAACAAGTTTTTTTAGAAGGTACTTCCAGCCTATGTTCTGACACTGAGGAAACAAAACAGATTAGGTTCCAAATCCATCACTCCTAGGCCTCTCTGTAGAGCATATTATGCAGAACAGTTACCTGTCTCCCCTGACACAAGCAAGACTCGTTTCACATGGGTCACTGGATAGTCCTCAAACTGTCAATGCTCATAATCCCAGCCAATTCAGGAGTGACGGAATCATTAATCCCACCACTAATCTATCTACAGAGGGAGATTTAACCAGATATAGATATACACATATATCCTTTTATCCTTGTTCAAAGTGTAGATAGTGTAGCTACAAGCAAGCACACCAGTACTGGAGAACAGCTCTATAAAATAAAGTGGAAGATCTCATGCTTTCCTTTTAGTTGTTTAAGTAAGAGGGACATGGGGATGATCTCTGATAGCCATGGTTCTTCATTCAATCTCAGGGTCTCAAAAACTCGAAATGGTTTTCTAAGTTTACCAACTAATGAAAAGGGGCAATAGGGAGGAGGAGTTGGAGGCAGAACTTTTTCTAAATGAATCGTATAAAACAAGTATTCACCTTGCGGAATTCCGTGCAATAAGAGACAAGCAGACAAACGTCATAAACAACATGCACATATTTACAAGTTGTAGTACGTGATACACAAAGACAAGACCAACAAAGTGTTTTCAATGTGGGGTCCAAAGGTTTACATGGCACACTCGGTTCTGTAGCTGAACGTTTTTGAAAAAACACTTCGAAGGCATAAGCAATCCAATCTTTTAATTGGAACACCAAAATTTTTCCTTCACAACTTCTTGCCCTCGACATCTTAGAAGAGTTTCTAATTGTTATCTTCGAACACTGATTTTTGAATGACAACTTACACAAAGATATTCACAGAGAAAAGAGACTTTGATGCTCTGAGTTCTTCTTACAGATGATTACTGGAATCTACTTACTTGACTAAAGGTTTTCCGTCGGTTAGGCCTCTGTCCGTCCTTATATACAGAATATAAAAAGATACTAACATGATTCCTGGGAAGCACAGAGTGCAAATTCTAAAGCACAATAAAGAGCAGGACTCGATTTCACTAAATGAGACCAAATGAGATCACGTATCACTGACTGCAGTAGTAACAACAGCCTTCTTTGACAGGGGAAGAAAAAACACTGTCTGTAAGGAATGCATGAGTATGAGAAGTTGTACCATGAAGAGATGTATTTATTTAGGCATTTCCTTTCTGACACCTCTGTCACACTTTGTTTCACCTATGGAACACAGGAGAATATTGCAAGGTAACAAGCTCAAAACATAACCCACTGTCACAGAGATGTGTGATTTTTTTTGGATGTGTATGTAACCTTTATAAATGATCATAGAAGTTATTTATCAACTTCCTAGAGTTTGGAAATTAAGGAGCAAACCCAGCTATTGTAGGCAATATGGTATCTAAAGTGTCATATAAAACAAACACATCACTCTTTTTTAGTGCAAAGAAATATAACAAGTAAGAATTAACACTACAAATCTAACTATTTTCTTTAAAAGAAAATGAGTTTATGGATTCATAACATCCATTAAGGGCACTGAGAGATGAGAAACCTGAATATGCAAGGCCGGGAAAAACATTAAGGCCTTAAGTCCACTGCTGTTATATATATATAATGAAATTGTTACGTGGGGAGAGTAGAGGGAATACTTCCTTTAATTTTATTTGCAAAGGAAAAACCGAAAGTGGATGAATGCCACTTTTATAAAAATGTAAATTCTTGTTATCTAAGGATTCAGTGAAATCTTCTCTATGGTATCACATAAAGCTATATGTACATAGTTTTATACATATATGTGTGTGTATATATATAAATACATATGTATACACACACACATACCTATACATGTGTATACATATATATAGTCATACATACAGAGAGGGGAAAAAATGAGATTTTTAAATAATCACAGAACCATGTGGCCAGAAATTTCATATTAAAATCTACCAAAAAATTATACTTAGCAGCAAAATGAGTAACCTACTGACCAATAAGATAAGCTCTAAATTGCCCTAAAATTATCAATTATACTTTATAGATTACTACAAAAGGAGTTATTGTACTAAGAGTCACAGGTCTAGCTAGAACCTCAACAGAATATTATTTCATTCTTTTGTTTCTGGGAGAAAATAAAATTACTAAGCAATTTTACTTTTCAAAAAACCACCACTTCAACAGAAGGGCAACTTGGTGGTGTACCAGAGGTTAATCACAAAACTTAATTTTAAATATGGGTCTAGTATTTAAAAATTGTTCAGAAGTACTAAAGGAGAGGAATGATGATTATAATTTTCCTTCTCCTCATCTCTTTGCCTACAGAATTTTCAAGGAAAAATAGGAGTTTTATTTTTAATTAATAATATAAGCAATCAAAAGTGAATTTACCATAGTGCAAAGATACTGCTCAATATAAACTACCTGGTGAACATGGCCTTTCAAAAGAAGTATGGATGAGCACCAGTCTTATCCATGTAAATATAGTAAATAGGTAAAATATGGTTAATGAAAGTTCGTAGAATCCTCCATTATTTAATCTAGATATAACACTAGAGCTTCTCATTTTAAAAACAAAGAACAAAAATAATAATACTGTTGAAATTATCAGATATGAAAGTAATCTATAATATATTTTTATTATCTTCAAGGAAGCTAAATTATAAAGAATAATGCCAAAGTTCAGGTATTTTTCTATTAGAAATGATGATACTAAAATTTGATTAACTTTTAAAAAAAATTCTTCTCTATCTCAGAAATAGTAAAGGTGTGGTATTTTTCAGGACAGTCAACAAACTAGCAAGACAAAGAAGAATGTAAGTAAAACGTAAGGATCTGTTTACCTAAAAAGTCTACCAAAACAAACATCAAGGGATCTGAACTTACAGCTGAGACCATCATATAAGTATATGTTATTATCATCAAGTAACTCTAAATTGAAATATTAAACACATTTCATTTCCTAAAACCAACTGAAAAAAACGTATTTTTTTTTTAAGTCACATCTATTCGAAACTCACTGGATATTCAAATGTGGGGCTTGGAAAACCCACAATATAGCTGGGGCATGAAAATGAGCTTATTGGATAAGCTAATTCAACTGGGGGAAGAAAAGAGGTGGGAAGAAGGTGAATTTAAATTTGTGAAATTCACAACTGGAAATGAAGTTTCATTGTTTGGCAGTACACAAGCACGTTAGAACTGTCTGAATCCAAGAAAACTTGCATTTCAATAATTGGAGGACATGATAAAGAGAAAAACTGTCCTGGGAAGGACTCTAATGCAGTTTTACATAGTATATCCTACTGACAATGCACTGAGTTGAGGTGGTGATTCCAAAGAAGCCTTGGGAAACTAAAATCTTTGCTTACCTGTTTTTACTATGATCTGAAGCAAGAACTCAATAAAATTATTTATTTAGCAGTACGTAACACTAAAATCGCAAAAAAAGATGAAGTTTTTAAATAGCTAAAGCTCTAAGTGGTCAGGCTACTAGTTGACCAGAACTTGGTCAAGATAAAAAGTTATTTCTCATGGGGTAGGTAGGTCATTGGCTTTAAGCAGCTCAACACAACTGACCTGAAAAAGCATCATGACTTAAGCACGTTCTCTTCCTTCCCCAGTTTTGACACCTTGTGGTACCACTGCAGGTTAGGTGTATTAACATTAAGCAGAGGAATGTACTCATATCAAAAGAACCACAAAGCAGAACATGTTGACAGAAGGCAAACAACAGGCAGGACAAGCTGCTCTATCTGAATATGACAATCACTATACATATCCCAGATTCTCCATCTCATTCCTGTACCGCTGTTCAGACACCTTGCTTTTATGTTGCTTGCTCTCTAAATGCTGCCGGAATTCCATTTCTTCGCCGGCCCCAACATTACACATGGAGCAGTAAAACTGGCCACTTGGAGTAACGCACATGGCCAGATCACGTGGAATTCTCTGCCGAGAGCGGGGATTGAAGTAAGGACCTGCTAAAGCAAGAGGCAAAAGTAATGTACTCACTTCAACATACTAAGTGAATGGTGGTCTGACCAATTATCACTGTAATTTGTAATTCTAAGCTCAAAGTATAAAATTCACAGATTCCTAGCTTTAAAAGAATGTAAAGTTAGTGGGTGTTTTAAATTACAATTTTATACGGGTTCAACCTAAAAAGCTAAAATGATTCCTCCAACTATCGTCAGAAATGTTACTGTAGAGCCAGACCCAAACTCTAAATGTCAATGTCTCTAAAACGTAAATATAATTTAAAAAATACTTTCAATTCCAAGCATTATATAAAAATCTGTATAATTATGCTAATTCTTTAATCCAAAAATTCTAAGAACTATACTAAGAAAATGTTGAGAATTTCTGCATAGAGATTTATAAGCAAGGACATTTATTTCATCAGAGTTTATAAAAGCTTTTGTGGGAGGGTGAGGGGAAAGGAAAGATCTGAAAATATAACTCGAAAAATCATGGTAATGAATGCAATGAAAAACTATACAGTCACTAAAAACAAGGTTATAGAAAACTCTTTAGTAACAATATTTGATTATAATATGCTATTAAGTAAAATAAAAATAACATAAAATATGATTACATTTCCATTTTACAGAAGTAACATACACAAAGAATTGGAATGATGTATACAAAAATGGTGGAATTATTGATAATTTTTTTCTTTACGTAACTGACTTTTTTTTTTTTTTTTTTTTTTTTTGCGGTACGCGGGCCTCTCACTGTTGTGGCCTCTTCTGTTGCAGAGCACAGGCTCCGGACGCGCAGGCTCAGCAGCCATGGCTCACGGGCCCAGCTGCTCCGCGGCATGTGGGACCTTCCCGGACCGGGGCATGAACCCGTGTCCCCTGCATCGGCAGGCGGACTCTCAACCACTGCGCCACCAGGGAAGCCCTACGTAGCTGACTTCTTAAGTTGGACCATTAGCTCAATCTTTTCTGCTTTTCCTTTCTACTATAATAATAAACATTTAAGGCTTTTCTCAAAATGTTACTTTAACTACATGGTACAAATATTGATGTATTTTTATTACTATCTGGGTGTAAGAATTCTCCATCACCAGTATGATTTCTTCTTTGGCCCATGAGTTATTTAGAAATGTTTAAAAACTTCCAAACACATAAAAATTTTGTTTGCTTTTTTTATATTTTTATTATTGACATCTCATTTAATTGTACTCTGATCAGAGAACATAAGTCTAAACCACCTTCTATCCTAAAGTTTTTTTAATCTAATATTAAGAGACCTACCTCAGCTTCCTTCATTTCAGCTGAATATTTTTTACCTAATCTTAAAATCTTTGTCTTTTAACTGGGACTTTAGTAAGTTTACATTTATTGCAATTACTGATATACTTGTAGATTTTCATTAATCTTATTACATTGTGCTTTCTATATGTCCTTTTTCTCTATGCTTCTCTTGCCTTTCCAATTAGCTTTTTGTTGTTGTTGTTTGTTTGTTTTACTGTTCACATGAGTGACCTCTGCTTATATGTGTATGCATTGGAGGCTGGGGTAGGGAAAGGATGAGGGACTGCTCAGTCCTACTCTCCCTACTAAAGGTAATCAGAAAATGCAGGAAATATTCCTATAAACTAGTAATTCTGAACTGAAGGTATATATCAGAATCACTGAGGAAGCATTTTCAAAATACACGTACGTCTGAGTACCACTCTAAATTTACTGATTGAAAATCTCTAAGTCATGGTTCAGCCATGTGTATTTAATAAAAACTCCCCAGATAATCTGAGTCACTATCCTGGTTGAACAACACTGCTATAATTTTTATTTTCCCCAATAAATGGGGATTTAATATGGTGCAACTTTAAACCAAACAGCCCATTTTTATAACGCATTTAAATGTCTCAGCTGACAAATACAAGAAGAAACATAAAGGTACTATGATAAGAGACCTTAAAACATAGACTTGGTTTAAAATCAAAATAAGTAATACTCTAAATAGGAAATAAATAAATAAGACCTGAAATAAACACCAGCTTGAAAAACCACTAGACCAATTCCACAAAACAACAGCTAACCCCAAATTCTCAGGGCTAGCTATTACCATTAAAGGAAATAAAAATGGAGGAGACCATCTGCAGAATGTAGTGAAGGTATGTGGAAATCCACAGAATACCTGAATTATTCTGTACTGCATACATATTTCTCCTATTAGGCATCATCTTATATTCATTCCCTTCTTTCCGGGTCCGCCGTTGACCAACCTCTGAGGATTCTCTGGAGAAGAGAAATTTTAAAAGAGTGAGACTTCTAAACAAGGATCCCTTTCAACACTTTTCTCGCTAGAGACAGTTAGTCTCACATAACACACTGGCCTAAGAGAAAACAGCAATACCTACGAGAATGAGTTACTCTGAGCTTCCGCCAGCCGCAGCCTCTTGGCATGATTCTTCCCTTGATAGTGAGCCTGGGCCACAGCCGGAGAACTGAAGGAGGCATCACAGAGCTTACAGTAATCATTCTCTGTGGCCAGAATCACTCTGCCTCCTGGCTTAAAGGAGCTCATCTGACAGCAAAGACACGAGAAACAAGGTTTAAAAATGTGCACTTTATTCTCTTCTTCTCCTCAAAGTTCCTTCCTTCTAAGAGTTGAAAAATAACCGAACGTTATGGCATGACCACAAACACTCAGCTTTATAAGGACAGGAAATAATTCATTCCAGAAAGAAAAAAAGAAAAAATGGCTGGGAGACAATCGTGGTTTTGCATTACAATCACCTGTGTACCAAACTGATGAATGCCTCATTGCTATCTCCATTGAAGAAATTTTAGAAAAGAAGTTTAAAAACCCAATATGGAAGATTTAGGGCAGTACAGGTAAGGCCTAAAATCACATTACCAGAAAGAACAAAGTCCTCCCAGAATCCATCAACAAGTATTTACTGAATGCCTACTGTTTATAGGGCTTGCTACCTAATGCAAAAGTGATATACAGACATGTATTTTAAAAATGAGCCCCTGTCTTCAGAGTCTATAAATTAGCTACAGATATAATATAATTAGGGGGGAAATAACCAGCAGATCCAGACAATTGTATTCAGGTTGGGAAACAGTGAGTTAAGGGAAACCTAACACAGTGCCTGGAAAATAGTATGAACTCAGTAAGTATTGCTGGGTTAACAAAACATGACACATTAGATTTTGCCTAAAGAAGAATAAAATATACAATAAAGAATCTGGAAAGCACATCATATCAGGACCAGCTGAAGGAAACAGCACTGTTTCACCTGGAAGGGAAGATGTTTCTGGGGACAGGATAACTGTTTTCAAAAATCACAAAGGGCTATGCTATGAAAGAAGCCTAAGGCTGTTTGCCCAGGAGGGTGGAGCCAGTTGAAACAGTCCCTAACAGGAAGCAGCTGTCCATTTTTAGAGCAGCCTTCAGGTATTAGCACTGTGACAACTTCTCAGCCTGAAGATCTCTCTGGGTATTTTCCTGTCCTCTGATTCTCTTTTTAACATATCTCATTTTCCCCACAAACTTATGAGGACATGAATAGCTGATATTGCTATCCACACTGTAAGTACTGAAAAACTGACACTCAGAAAAGTAAAATTATACCATGGTGTTTAGGAGTAGAGGTCTAAGGTCAAGAGAAATCATTGCTCCACCACTTTATAAAATTTGTAACATGATGGACAAGTTACTTAGTTTATCTGGGCTTTTAATAAACTTCCGGGTGAAACCAATGCTGCTAGCCCATGGATCATACTTTGAGAAATAAGGTCAATACCTCTGAGTTGTTGCAAGCATTGAAAGAAGTCAGGACCCAGGCCAAGAATGAGGCAAGGGAGGCACTTGCCATGGGCACACAATTTAAGGGAGCATCAAAAAATTCAGCAATCAGGATTAAAAATACTTAATGGGGGGGCTTCCCTTGTGGCACAACAGTTAAGAATCCGCCTGCCACTGCAGGGGACACGGGTTCGAGCCCTAGTCCGGGAAGATCACACATGCTGTGGAGCAGCTAAGCCTGAACACCACAACTACTGAGCCTGTGTTCTAGAGCCCACGAGCCACAGCTACTGAAGCCTGCGTGCCTAGAGCCATGCTCCGCAAGGAGAGGCCACCGCAATGAGAAGCCTGCGCACCGCAACAAAGAGTAGCCCCCACTCGCCACAACTAGAGAAAGCCCGCGTGCAGCAATGAAGACCCAATGCAGCCAAAAATAAATAAATAGAATAAAAGAAAAATACTTAATGGAATATTTTTATCAATCAAAATTATTGCAAAAAAATCAATGAGGAACAAAACATCAAATTTTTAAATAAAGACAGGATAAGCAACAGTGCCATGCCAAGCCACATTGCTGCCTAAGGCAATAGGAAAATTAATAACACTTATCCTGTCTTTAAGTTTTTGACATTTTGTTCACCACTGACTTTTTCATGTTAATTTTGAATTTTTAAAATATCACATTATTTATCTTGATTACTGAGTATTTTGGCTCCCTCTTAAATTCTGTGCCTAAGTCAAGTACATCCCTCATGTCACTCTAGGTCCAGCTCTGAATGAAGTAATGCATGAAAAGTGCTTAGCAGAGTACCTGGCACAGTAAGTACTCAATTAAAGTGATTATTATTTATTATTATTTATGACCTATAGAAAAATAATACTTCAAAGACAGAGTAGCATCCATACTTCAGAGGCTACTAAAGTACAGGAATATCTTGCCTCAAAGCACCTGATCTATCTCCCAAAGAGTGAAAGGAACTTGGCTATCAAGTGTGTGTCATGATACCAAAGTCCAGAAAGAGTTTATACAGGCTCTCTGCATAGAGGTAAGAAAAGGGCAGCCTCGGGCTTCCCTGGTGGCGCAGTGCTTGAGAGTCCGCCTGCCGATGCAGGAGACGCGGGTTCGTGCCCCGTTTCGGGAGGATCCCACATGCCGCGGAGCGGCTGGGCCCGTGAGCCATGGCCGCTGAGCCTGCGCGTCCGGAGCCTGTGCTCCGCAAATGGGAGAGGCCACAACAGTGAGAGGCCCGCATAACGCAAGAAAAAAAAAAA